GAGCCTTGCGGCCCGCTTCTACCATGGCCTCCACCGAGCGCCGCCCCTCCTCGACACGCGCCCATGCGGCGTCGAGCTCCGCACGCTCCGCCTGCAGGGCCTCCACTTGGGCGCTGAACCCATCTAGCACCGCGGTGTTTGCGGCGGCCAAGGCCTGCAGAAGGGGCTCGGCGCTCAGCGGGGCGACAGAAGACGAGGGGAAGAGCTGCCTTGAAGAAGACGCCGCGCGGCTCGGCCCGCCAATGGACGCGCCGGCCTCATCACGGGCCACCCCCGGACCTGTTTGGTCCTGGGCGTCGCCCGAAGGGGTGGGCCCAAGCGAGGCGTCCGCGGCCTCGTCGTGAACTGCCTCGGAAGCCGCCATCGCCTCAGCCCGGGCGGCCTCCTCCCGAGCGGCTTCCTCGGCTTGGCGGGCCCGGGCGGCCTCCTCCCGAGCGGTATCCTCAGCCTGGCGAGCCCGGGCGGCTTCCCGGGCGGCCTCTTCAGCTTCCCGTAGGCGGTCTGCGGCCTCTCGCCGGTCAGATTCCCGCCTCCGTGCCTCTGCGGCCGCCGGATCTTCGGCCTCGGACTGGCCGGACTTGGGATGGTGGGAGGAACGCGATGGGATATCACTGAAGCAGAAAGAAAAACCAGAAGGCAAACAAGATGGGTAAGAGAAAACTTGCTTTTGGGATAGAAGAAAAGACGGTCGCAATGAGCGTGGGACGAACCTGCGAGGGGGTCGGTTAAATGACCACCTTGGAGGGGAAATTAGTTTTCCCCGGGATGGTTCTGTCTCCCCCATCTTGCGCAGCCGCTTCTTCTTGCGCTCCCCCTCGGGCTGCGATGTTGGCGCGGCCCCCTCCGGGCGCCTGCTGCTGGCACGCACCGCCCCGCCCCCTCGGGGAGGAGATGGGGGAGGTGTTCCTCCCAGTTTCCTCTTCCCCCGGGCGTCGGTAGGGCGGTTGCTCCCCGAGCCCCCGACGCGGGGCCCAGAAGCACGACCCCCTCCGGGGGTAGATTGATCCCCCCGGCGGCTCCCACCTGCGCCGTCATGGCCCTTAGGAGCCTGCTCCTCTGAGGCCCCGACCGCCGTCATAATGGTCAAGATGGAGGCGCGATCTGGGTCGCTGCAGAGGGGGAGGATACCGTGGGGGATGAGGGACGCCTCCACGGAGTTGAGATTTAGCACCCGTTGGACCAGTATCTTGAAGTCCTCGGGGGCCCAATCCCATCTGACTCCCTGGTGGGTCCGCATGTAGTCTTCGGACCCGGTGTACTCCCAGGCGGCCCGAGCGCGCCGCTGGAGCGGCGCAATCCGACGACGGAGGTAGTCGCCGTACACCATGGCCCCGGTGAGCCCCTGGGATCGCAGGCCCGCGAGGCGGTCGAGGACGGCGTCATAGCCATCCCCCAGATCTACCGGCGCCCGCCAGCTGGAGGCCTGCGCCGGGGGCTGGCTCGGGAGTCGGAGATGCGCTTCGTCGGCGAGGGGGGTGTAGAACCAGTCGCTCTTCCAGTCATCCCACTTTTTACGGAGGACGCAGGGGATGTAGCGGTTCAACACCGGCCCCCGCGGCAGGAAATAGCAGCCGCCGACCACTGACGGTGGCGATACCGACTGCACGGTAAAGAACCACTGGAACAGCCGGAGAGATGGGCGCACCCCAATGAACATCTCGCACAGGTGTGCGAAGATGCCCAATGTCATCACTGCGTTGGGGGTAAGGTGCGCCATCTGGAGATCGTAGAACTCCAGGACATCCATGAAGAAAGAAGAAAATGGCGGAACCAGCCCTGCCATTGCGAAGGGGAGAAAGAAGACGGACCGCCCCGGGTAGTCTGGCGCCGGGCGTCCCTCACCCAGCATTACTATCTCACGGCCAGTGGCAGATTCCGGCATGAAGCGGCGCGGCAACCCGGCCTGCTTCTCGCTCACAATGCGAGAAGGCGGCAGCACGCTACCATCAAGCAGTGCGGAGCCCCGTGCCATGGCGCCGGACGAAGAGAAGATGAAGAGCGAGCGCGTGTGGCGAAAGAAGGGCGCGGGGAAGAAGGAGTTAGGACGCAAGCGGCGAAGGCAAGGGAAATGATGGCGAAAGGAAGGAGACAAATCCCATCCTCAGTGCCTTTATACCCTTGCCAACGCTGTGCCCGGCTCCTCGTTTCTCGCACCCATTATTTCGCCCCCTCGTTTCTCGCGCCCACGCTTCCACTAATCCCATTCGCCCGCTTGCGGCGCGTGAGATGGATATGCGGTTGCGGCAGTCGAGATAGATCGTATCGTGCGCGCGTTAATTACGCTCGCCGACCGAAGCGACATTACCGTATCTCCAGGCGAGGCAAATCGGCTCGCCCAGATTCGTGCGCCGCTCAGGTGATGTGGCAGTCTTGAAGAGACCGCCCCATTATTGACAGCCAAATTACCATTACCGGTGTGCATGGTTTGAGACCGTTGGGTTTTTGCCCAACCATGGAGACCGGTCCCACCTGTCACCAAGCTTTAGGAGTGGCGTCACGCCCGACCGCTTCCCTTGAGAAGGGCGATCGCCCTGGCATAACGCCGGGGGCTACTGTCGGTGATATGGGACCGGGAGTATCGTGACTAGAGGCTTGAGGCAGACACAATCGCCCACGTGGCCTGGCACCTTCGGGGACGTCGGGCCCGAGGGTGAGGTGTCCGCCCTCCTCCTGATTTCCCCGAGGGGGGGGTCGGGTGACTCCAGCCTCGCCCCCGAGGGCCGAGGCGCCCCGACCCCTCGCGTTTTCTACTCCACGTGTATGGGTTAGGTGAGCACAGCAGGGCTCACCTAACCGCATTTATTGCGCCTCGGCTAAGCGTGTCACGCCGCACGAAGTGCAGTGCAGTGCACTCGATTATCCGGTCTGTGACCAGTCACAGACCGGTCAAATCGCGGGTTAGGTGGCGACAGGCGGTCAGACGCATGCTTCGCCCCATCCTGTCTAGACGAGAGCTTCTAGGCACTCGTCCCCGGCTGGAGCTAGCGTGTTACATCCCAGAGATGACACGTTAGCCCCGATCGATATATGCCAGGCTTCATCCTAACCATTACAAGCAAGATGTTGTTTGAAGAAGGGCAAACATGCACGTTGCTGAGCCGACGTGTGGTGGACAAGAATGACCGATTTGTGACCGGTCTGACACTGCTCATGTCGTCAGTACACAGCCACCTTCCCACGACGTGCCCGCCTCAGGCAGAAGTGGAGGTAGGTATGTGCCGTCCCGTCAGGAGGATGTTCGGAGGACGACCGTGCAAATCTCCGTCCATTTATGAAAAGAAGAAAAGTCCAGTTTGGAAAGGGAGGGGTGCATGTGGTATCCCCTTGAAGTATAAAAGGAGGACCTTGCCCATAGAGAAGTGGGTTGGTTGATTCTTTCCAGATTCAGAGCCTAGAACGAGGGAGAGGTCGGCTCACACTTTGTAGTTCCTTCATACACAGATCCACCAAAACACAGGAGTAGGGTATTACGCTTTTCAGCGGCCCGAACCTGTATACATCGCCCGTGTCTCGCGTTTCTTCCTAGCTGGCGATCTTTCCACATACCGAGAGAGCTTGAGATTTCACCCTAAGCCCCCGGCCGAACCGGCAAAGGGGGGCCTGTGCGGTCTCCCGGTGAGGAGCCACGAGCTCCGTCATGCATGATAAATAAACCTCTTCTGGTTCAGCACTTGGACCGGACGAACTGGCGGTAGGACTGATGACCCGGTGAACCAGGTGCTCGAGTGGTTCGAATGACCAGTCTGGTTTTTTTTACTATGCTTTTAGTGCCAAACTTAATGGTCAATTTCCTTGGACTAGATGGTGATGGCAAAACAAAAACACACACTAATAGAATAGTCATAAAGGAGAGAAGTGTAAATTTTCGATAGCCAAAGAGATCATACGGTTGCAACAGTGGCAAATGAAATTTCACCTTTTTTAATGCTAACTATGCTAAACTTTCAAACTATGGTAAAAGAGTAATTTTACAGTCCTCGAGGAGGCACCATGAAGTACCATTTTTTCTATTGTAAATTTGGTACATCATGTTACCTAGGTACTATAAGGAACCATGAGGTACCAAAATTTACTCCTCAAGGACCGTAGAATTGCTCATGGTAAAAAAAAATCACAGCAAGATGTATTCAGTATTCACACCAACACACCAGACTTACAACTGACGGAATCTACCGTTTGCTCTCTAGCTTATCAGCTGCTACCAAAAATTTAAGTTTTAAAACATAATTATAGAGTTAATTTTCATTCTTCTATCGTAATATTTTCAGTATCGGTTTTGAAGTCGCTAAGAACACACTTATAAAAGATTTATTCAGAATTTTTTTTCGCTATTAAGCGTTACGGCTTATAGTTCGTTGTAGATGAAATGATGAGAATTCTTCAGAAAATATATTTGCGATTTTCACATATATATATAAGCGCTTCCAATATACTCACTGCAAACTTCCAAGCACAGGCATCGATAAACCTTGCCAGTATCGATGCAGTCATGCAGAGATTTGGCCAGACCATCAGAATTCAGAGGGATTCAGAAGCCATTGCTGAGGTAGGAGAGTATATGCATCAGACAGACAGACAGCCGGCGACATCCCGATATCCAAAGACAGCTTGGACAAACTTACAAACCAGCTGTGAAATCCGAACCAGCAATTTCCTGCCTTCACGTACGAATTCGGGACATATTCCTGCACCTGACGACAAGGCAAACAAGAACAAAACAGCTCGTAAGCAAGCGAAGCAAGCCTCGCCAGAAGAGGATAAAATTCAGCCACTGTGCAGCCCTTGACATGTCCCAATCATACACGCTGCCTGCCGATCTCGCATTCAGTGTTTTTTGCCTTTTCTTTTCCATCTGTTCACCTTTTTCTCAGCTAGCTGCTGGGTGCAACACCCAGATACAGTAATTCAGCATGTTTTGGCCAGGAAACAAATGCAACGTTCCAAGATCTGGTAGGTTCCCACAGAGCACAAAACGGGTTGTACAGGAGGTGCTAATTATATAATCCAAGGTACAGGCAATCATTAGTCCAGAAAGACTCTTTATTGAGTAGTGTTACATAATAGTACATTTCAAAGTAAGCTCACTCTAGGAGCTTACATCAAACTAATAAAAGCAACATCAAATAGTAAGTAGTCCCACATTTTTTTTATGTTTTTTAATGTTTGACGTTGCTTAGTTCGAAATTGAGCTAACCAACGTCAAATATTAAAGGATAGAGGTAGTAATTATTTAGAGACGGCGTTCTCCATTTGCTCTTTCAGTAAGCAGCATTTGAAGAACAGACGGAACAGTAAAATCTTCTTGATCTAATGGAACATCGCCATCGGCGCCATCCTGTAGCAATCTTGCTCGCAGATGAGGGGATTCCCCACTACGCTGCAAGAGAAGAGAAACCATGCAATTGTTGAACAACACTGAATAAAATAAAAAAGTTCATTTTTTTTTTGTTCCAAAGGATGAACTTGAAACTGCAAACTTACTTGTATCTTCTTGCCAATGATGCCGGTATCGGACCACTCAGGTTGTTGTAAGACAAATCTCTGAATCACCAAGTGCAGAGCGAGACAAAGCAAACTGATTAATTACAACAAACCAAAGCAACAGCAGGGGAAACTGGTGACGAATTTACTCACAGGAAAACAAGGTGCGACAGGTTAGCTGATGCAGAAGGAATTGGACCAGACAGGGTGTTGTTGTTCAGTCTCCTGATCAAAGTTACAAGAGAGCAATAGATGGACAGGCTCCCAACTTAGCATGGCAACAAAGAAACAACTATAACTATGTATACAAAATAGTATATGGTAAAGTCAATTTCTCTGTTAAGATGATATCCCTAGTTTCATGCATGCCATTTAAATAGTTATGAATCTTGTTTTAAAAATATAAATATATATAAGAACTAAATGTTGAAAAAATTAAAAAATTATATATTAGCTAAGCGTTTGATTTGTTATATTCATTTAAATTTATATGTGTTGAATTTGAACTTATATGTTTTAAAAGTGATATATCACATGATGATTTATTTTGCTTTTTTATAAAAAAAATATAAATATTTCGATGTGGAAGAAACGAGAAGAGCATCCACTCGAGGGAAAAAAAAACCACCTCGGTACATAATTCCAAATCATTATGAACAGTGCAGCAGTGCTTGAAAATTGTCTAAAAAGGGGAGCAGGCAGCATTCAAAGGCTTTGCAGTTTGCAGTTTGCACTGTGGAGCTGCACTCACAAGTACTGGAGGCTCTTGAGGTGGCCCACAGAGCAGGGGATTTCACCATGGAATTGGTTGCTGGAGAGATCAAGTCTCTTGAGGTTTGCCAGCTTGCCAATCTCTGCTGGGATTGGCCCACTTATGTTGTTGTTCTGCAGGAGACTGCACCATCAAAAGATCAAAAAAAGGAAAAAAAAATCAGTTTCAACTCAAACAAAAACTGGTCATGACAAGGCTATAGTGCCAATGCACATCCATGGACTGATGTGAGGAAGAAACACTACTCACATAGTCTCAAGATTGGTCAGGTCGCCGATGCTTGGCGCGAGCAGGCCAGAGAGATGCTGGCCTGGAGCTTCCCTGAAAAATATTCAGATAATATTCAGACAAGCAGCAGATGAGAGGATGCCGGCGCCAACAATATGTAACTATGTATTGCTTGCTTTGCTTTGCTTAATTGGTGCTTAATTACAGGGTAGTGACGAGGGAGTCCGGGGAGCAGGTGATCAAGGCCCAGCTGCAGGGATCGACGGAGTTCTGATCCCAGCTCTTGAGCACGCCATGGGGGTCCTCGAGCAGGTTCTTGATCTCGATCAGAGCTCGCACTGCAAATCACCACCAATTCACCACCACTAATCACTAATTCAGCACAGGCAAAGCTCATACCAAACCAAATGCAAGAATTGGAGCAGAGACAATCGCCAACTGGCCTTCGGTGTTGACGCCATAGGCGGAGAGGCGGGCGGTGGAAGGGGAGGAGGAGACTAGGAGGAGGAGGAAGAAGAAGAAAGGCGCCTCCATTGCTGATGAAGGTAGCTAGGAGTCGAGCTAGCAAATTAGCGTGATTAGTGGGAGGAGGGTAAGGGTAATCAAGGTGAGCTCTTTCTTTGGGTGGAAGAGGAGAGGACTGCCTGTGCTGTGCCTGCCTCAAATAAGTACTCCATCTGTTTCATATCACAAGTCGTTTGACTTTTTATCTAATCAAATTTTATTAAGTTTGGCAAAGTTTATAGAAAAATTTAATAATATATCAAGTTAGTTTCATTCAACATTGAATATATTTTGATAATATGTTTGTTTTGTGTTGAAAATACAAATACATTTTATATAAATTTGGTCAAACTTAAAGTTTGACTAGGAAAAAAAAGTAAAACGACTTTTTTTATAAAACGGAGGGAATAGTAAAATTTGATATCTTGGTACTCCCTCCGTATAATATGAAACGGAGGGAATAGTAAAATTTGATATCTTCATACTCCCTCTGTCCAGCAATATATGTTCAGTTCTTGTGAAGCAAAATATGTTCAGTTCTTGTGAAGCATATAATGATTAATTTGTTCAGTTCTTGTGAAGCACTAGTACTGCAAAATATGTTCAGTTCTTGTGAAGCATATAATGATTAATTTGTCCAGATGCTCTACACTTGAGTTGGTGGTTTTGCTTTTCTTTTTTAATTATTATTCTCTCTATGCGAGCTCGCCGAATTTGATTCTGCAAGGTCAAGGTCAAGTTCATCTTTTAAAAAAAAGGACTGGAATTTTTTTTTTAACCAAAGTGCCTGTAGCTATTGTGATTTGTCAGTTGTCTCAGAATCACAGAATAATATGGATGGACCGTAAAGGAAATAGCTCAATTCTCATAGTAAACTTATGCTTTTCAAAGGGTTCTTTAGTAAAGTTTAGAGGCAGCTAACTTAAGGACTCTTTTGTAACACAATATTTCAAAAACATAGAAATAGAAAAAAAAACATAATCCTCGTCCCAAAATATAACAACATAGTATTATCTGTCTAGATTCGTAATATTATAATGTGTCTAATATGGAACTAGATTGTTATATTTTAGAATAATGAGAGTAGTAGAATGTTGCACCTTGTGTAGCTGTGTATTCCTACAAAACCTTTTTTTTTTCTGAGAGAGGTTCCTAGAGACAAAGGAAACACATGAAAGCTCCAAATAGCTATTTCCATGGCATACATGACACTAAAAGAGAAAAACATGAGACCTTAACTTATTCATTGTTTCAAAGGGCTCTAAAAAGGAATTCTATCCATATGATTCAAATCCTACAGAAACCCTTAACTTTTGCTTTGTTCCAAAATCTTATTCTTTCACTACCAAAGGGACCAGCTTCCTTGACTTTGTGCAATTTGCAGTTGCGTTGACATGTGGGCCATATCAAAGTGAGTAATCAGTGACTCAACTGCAAACTACACAAAATCAAAGAATCCATTCCCCCCACCAAAGGCCTCAAATAATTCAATATTAGATTTCTCGCTTTTAGTTTATTGTAGGCCACTTTTTGCAACAGTTGACCGAATATGATTACTTTCTTGTATTCCTCTTCTAGAATCAGAACCTAAAATTTTCCTTTCGGAGTTACTTGTCCTTATTTGACAAATGGTTCCACTCATTTTAGGCCGAGTTTAGTTCCAAACTTTTTCTTCAAACTTTCAACTTTTGCATCACATCAAAACTTTCCTACACACACAAACTTCCAACTTTTTCGTCACATCGTTCCAATTTCAACCAAACTTCCAATTTTGGCGTGAACTAAACACACCCTTAAAACACTAGTTTATATCTCGTGTTTTGCTGTGGGATATGTGGATTAACAGATGCCATACTTTGTAGGAATGGTAGATGTACATGTTTAAATAATATAAAAATGATATGGGGATAATGATTTGATATTACTTGCATATTGAGTCCTGAAAATATGACAAAATTATAAATGAATGTCATTTTTGAATGATATTAAAAACTCTAGATAATAATTGCTAGTGAGTAATGATGTGGCATACTTGCATGTTAAGCTTTAAGAGTTAGTGAACATCAACTTTATAGTAAGATATGATTTTATAGTAAGATAGGATAAGCTAACGTATATTAGCGACAAAAGTTAATTTATGGGTAAAACTTTTTTACATATGTACTTTTAGCGGCTCAAAAGCCAATGTTGAAAACAAACTACGATTAAAAAAACATCAAAATTAGCTGCGTCTAATAAGACGTAGAACAAACAATGGAGCTATAGAAAAATGTAAATTTGTCGAATCTAGTAAGAGTAACATTTTTATTCAAAGAGAGTGGTTGATTCAGAATTGATTTTAACATTGCCAGCATTTTTATATACTAATTTCTATTGTACTTTCAATGGTAAAAAGATCAATTGCAAGTGATCTTCCATATCTTATCTTCTAAAGCCGTCAGAACCGCCCTCATTTGATTGGTACATGTGGTGCAGTAATTTACGATTGATTTAGCACGACTCATAAAGTAATCGTCGCGCCTGGTTCGGCTTCTCAATTAATCTGGAGTTCTGGATAGTACGCCAAAAAAGGAAAAGATAGAAAGGAAAAAGTACCCTGATGCATGCGCTGGTTAGGCACAAAGCTGGGCTGTATAGCTCAATTACGGGCGCTTCGGCCAAACAGACAAGGAGGAAATGAATATATAAGAAAGAAGTAGAAATATTTTAAAAATATCTTCAGACAAATACAATACATTATGATTGAACCAGATATTGAAACAAAGCAAAGTATCCTGGCCACATTGATGTCCTATATTACTAAAAAAATATTAATTAGAGAAAACTGAATGTATTCCAACCATCGAAAAATATAAGAAATATTTAATTTGCTTCGTTGGGACAAGGCTTTGATCAAGAATTATTCTATGAGGATATAATTTTCTGACACAAATTGACGTCATTGTTTCGATATTGAAAAATACTTATAGTCATGATTATGTTTTTATCACCTAAATAAATATATTAATAAAGTAATTATTGGTCAAAATCTTGTCCTAAGAGTACAAAATATTGGATCAAACTTTGTAATCCTCACAAAGATTTTTTTTTTAGAATATATACTTTTTGCTAATATTGCAATTTCTAAGTAATCATATGCAAAACTTTATGAAACCATTGCAATTTTCCGGAAAAATACCTTTTTTTTTCTTTTATTTTTTTCATAATAGAATCCACAGTCATTTGTTAAAGTTAAATAATGCAGCTTCCACTCAACAAAATTATTTACAAATAATAAATTACCATCTTACTGCGATTTGTCTAAAAACTCGACAAGCACAAAATTCAAATCCACTAATACGTCCCTTTGAAAGTATAATTTCTATTGGCATTAATTTAACTTGTGTAAAAATTATATAAGTATTTTAATCTCCTATATATGAGCTCTAAAGAATATGCATAGGCTATAAACTAGCTGCGTGCCAAGTGGCGAGTTTGTTTTCTAGTTTATACCAAATAACACACCAAACTTACAACTGGCTTCCGGACTAAACAAACTGAAGATCTTACCAGCATAGTAAATCAAATTCATAATCAATCAAAAGGTGAATTCAGAATCTGTATTTACTTGGCAATTCGCAATGCCAACTTCCAAGAACAGGCATCGATATACGTTCCCAGTATCGACATACCATCAGAGTATCGATGTACGACAAAAGTCAGAAGCAATTGCTGAGGTATGCATCAGACAGATTGCCGATATCACACATCCAAAGACAGCTTGCACGACCAGATGCAAAATCTGAACCATTTCCTGCCTGCACGTACGAAATAGGACATATTCCTGCAAGGACAAGCACCTGAAGACAAGGTACTACGCAAACAAGAACAAAGAATTCGTAAGCAAGCAAAGCAGCCTCGCCAGAAGAGGATAAATTCAGTCACAGTGCAGTCCTAGACAAGTCCCAATCAAACACGCTGCAAATTTTGCATTCAGTGCTTTGATCTGCACCTCTCAGCTGCTGCACCTGCGCAGGACCGACCCATCGATCCATGATCTGTGAGCGCGCCCACCAAATACAGGAATACAGCATATTTTTGTTAGAAACAAATGCAACATGCCAAGATCTGGTTGTTTCGCACAAAATGATTTATAGAGGAGCTAATTATATATGATCCAGGTAGGGAATCAATTAGTCCAAAAAGACAACATCCGATAGATAATCTAGCAGAGGAACTATTGTCTCCTACAGGCACTCGAAAAACATCCGCCACAGGTTGATGTCATGCTGACACAGTACAAAACAGGGCTGTGTGCTGGAAGTGGATGTTGATTCTGATTTTGTAGCTACAAGTACAAGTGTGAACTTAGAACATTGAAGACGTGACCTCAGCAACTTCAGACATAACTTGATCGTAGTCCGTCTTAAGTTTCTCCTTGACATCTTCCTCAAGCTCGCCCTTGGCTGGCTTGGTCAGAACCAATACACAACAGGTAGGCCTCTTGGTAGTCCCAGCTGTTGCGAGATCCTAACACAATGAGGGGAAAAAACATCAGTATCTCAAGTTACCCCTTGGCTTCGTGAGCATAGTTGGCGGTCACTAACTTATAGCAGTGCAAACATTACAGAAAGCATTACAAATTTCTACATTATTTAATTCCTTTCCCATTTTTGGTGATTTGTGGCACAAGATGTTGGCTTTATTGGACAATACAGGTCTTATTAGGAGCTGCATTGATCAAATTAATGAACATTTGTATTTTTCAAGGGGATACTTGAAGCAACACACGCTTTTAATCTGGGGTTGATATCAGAATAATTTTGTTCCAGACCTTCTCAGGCAGGGATCTTGGTGTCAGTGCACGGAGGGAGCAAATATTTATTGCATTAAAAGAAGACTTCACGATACTGTAGATAATCATATTAGAAACTAGTCAGAATGTAAATCCAATACTCATGGAAGTCTTTTCTAACTACCTTCATGGTGGTTGGTTTGTTTTTGGAGATCCCATGTATCCAAAACACTTCTCAACTCCTATCTATCAATCCCTACATGGTGTCTTGTGCTACATGTAGTGATTACGGTAATAATGTTTTCTATTCTTAAAAGAAAAGAAGAATTTCAGTACATGGTATGTGCAAATGGGCAACAAGGTGAGTCTTCACTCATTCCTAGGTGTTCATGGAAATAACTCTAATTTTACAAAGACTGTTTAAATTCAAGCTAATCGTACTCAGGGTAGCTCACTGTAAAGCACCAGCAAATGCATATTCCCCATTGTCGTTCAATAATCAACATGTGAAAGGCTGCAGCATTGTCATCTTTTATAATTGAACATGACTTGTTTCATTTAGTCTATACAAAGTAACCAATGGGAAATATGCTGCTGCTAGGGCTATCTGTGCTGTTCCCTGCCAATAGATTACAAGGGATTGATGTCGAGAAGTCTGAAGTTAAAGGGCATTACAAAAATACCTCTTTCGACGGAACATATACATAAGGAATGTTGGCTTCTTCGCAAAGGATGGGAACATGTGTTATCACATCAATGGGAGAAATGTTGCCAGCAATGATGCACAATCTGCAAACCAAAGCCATAAACAAAGTGGTTAGTGAGCTTGTCGATAAAACTAAGTAAGTGAACTTGTGGGAAACAAACAACATAGTGGATTCATATCGAGAATTCGATTAACAGCAAGGTTCCTCTGAAATTACATTTCAACCATAGTATATTTAGCCAAACTACTCGCTCTATTGTACCATTAAACTACAAATCGATAAGTAAAAAACGAGATGAATAGCACAAGAAGAAACCAACGCACCCTTTCTGCCCGCGGCGGATGCTCTTGACGACCTCCTTGACTCCTCGCTTCAAGCATTTGGCCTCAGACGCTGCAAATCGAAAGGAAAGAAATTGTAAAAAAAAAAGAAACCGCAGAATCGTTCGAAACCAACAGCAGGCGCAAACGGAGCCGGGGAAAGGATGATGATTCGGGACCTCGGCGGACGAGCTTGAGGGTTCGCTTGCAGAGCTTCTTGCCGGCGAGCGGCTTCGCGATGGGCGCCAGCGCCACGGGCGTCTTCTTCTTCTCCGCCTCCGTGTCGCTCCCCATCTCCCTCCTCTCCGGCTACTTCCTCCTCCTCGCCGCCGCCGCCGCCCGAGATTGCTGGCTCGCGCGCTTCTTCTCCGCAAGCTGGAACGGCGGCTAGGGTTTTTTGCGGCTCGAGCAAGCGAGGGGTTTAAGGCCAAGGGGCTTATAAAGCAAGCCCCTGCTCTCACCGACTTGTGGGGCCACCGATTGGTGGGTTTTAGCTCTGGGCTTGGGCTTTGTATAGATGGGCCTCATTCAGGCCGATTAGCAGTCGTAAAAAGTCCACATTGACTCCCTCCAAAATACATTCGATCTACTAATTCGTACCCACAACCGTAAAACCGGTATAGTGATTCCTCCAGCTATTTAAACCTGTATAAGAGCAAGTCTAATAGTACAGCCTACTACCAGCTCCAATTCATCTATAGCCAATCTAATAGCCAATTCATACAATAGTTGCTTACTATACTATTAGTATATAGTCCCACATGTCATACACACAGTGTGTCTTGGAGTCCGTGCTGCAGCTAGCTACAAATCTGTAACCCGCTGCTCTTCTCTCTCATCATTTATATCATTAAAATATGTTTATAGCCGGCAAATAGCCTGCTATTGTACCTGCTCTAAGATAAGGCTTAGGACAGCATTGATGGGTGGTATTAAATGACATGGCAATCGGTCAATTCCTTCCCTACCCTCTCCTCCCCCTCCCCCTCCCCCCCCATTTCCTCTTGACAACAAGGAGGCAACAATAGGGCTGCAGGAGATTGGTGGAGGCAACAGAGTGGCGACGGGGCGATGGTATGGCGATGGCAAGCAGCTGCAAGTAGCACACACATCAATAGCAGAGGGCCAGAGGGGCAGTGGTACAGCTTCCGCCTTGTCGTCATCGTCCGCTGGGAGAATGACCCACAGATAGTAGCGAGTGCGAAGGAGACCCATGTAATGGAGGTCGAGGTTATTGATTTTCCAAATTGTTCGAGCTTCTCCCTCTCACCACTGTCGGCCTCCCATCTCGTCTCCGCGTAGCTTCTTCTCCGCCGCCAACCCCCCGACGATGGGCAACGAGATCGAGACGGGAACCTTCCCGATGATAGGACAAATCGAGGGGCTGAAGCATAGAGGTGGAGCTGTTGCTTGTTATGTTAGATCGAGCACCATCTTCCTCAACAAGGCCTGACGCCAGAAAATGATCTTGATTTTGCTAAAGAAAAAGATTGTACTATGGAAAAATAAGTCTTCTTCTTCCAAAGATTTTTACGAATACGCCTTTTTGACATCGAAGTACGTTTTTTTGGAACTGCCATTCCAAAAGTGGGTGAGCGCGGAGATGGTTTGATTGAGCCACTGTGTCGCGTTGCCTAAAGCCCATCCCCGCCAATTATCATCTCTGTCGTGGCACACTGGTGCTCTTCATCTCTTCTACTCAACTGAAACATCGCTAGAGCTCGCATAGCCATGCGCAACACCGCCTCCTTCTATTGTTCATTACTACTAGAGCTATTCGATCCATGGTTGAGTGGTGGAGAGAGAGACGGGGGAGGAGGGAGGCGGGTGAGCTCGAGCTCGAAGGGGCTCGTTGGCCACCACTGTGTGCCAAGCGAATACAAGCACGAGATCACCATGGAAAGAAAGATAAGGGAGGAACATGTGGGTCTATGCTGTTCTTATTTTTTTCCTCCTATCACTTATGTGTGGGTCACATAACTATTTTTTTATTTCTTTTCTTATATATAACTGCCACGTCAGCGTAGGAGGATTAAGTCAACATGACAACGTCAATAAAACCATCCTCAAAACAGTCGAGAGAGTCATTGTGCAATACTTTGAGGAGTCGATATACCCGGTTTCGTGGTTTTGCGACTCAGAGACACGAATTAGAGGGACTAAATCTGGACTTTTTCCCTTAGCAGTCCTACCCGTATGGTGCCTAGGCCCATTAAGGCTGTACCTGACCTGCCGCCAGCCTGTGATGGGCCCCACCGGCCACGGAACACCGGAGCGGTGGGCCCACACAAAACCTTCTTTCCTCCCGACACTTGACTCGCTAGTCGCTACCCCTCTTCTTCTCGGCCGCCACCACCTCGTTTGTTTCCCCATCTCCTATAAAAACCCTAGCCAAAACCCGCGCGGATCCCGCCGCCTCGCCGCGTGATCCCTCCCCATTCGAAACCAAAATCCATCCCCGTGAAGGTTGCGCGGGAAGCCAGCGAAACAGGGGAGCGCGCGCGCGTGCGCGGGAGGAGGGAGCTCGAATCCTAGGCGGTGGTGGGTAGGTGGGTCGGTGGGCGATATGGCGGCGGGCGCGGGGGACGGCGACCAGAGGTGGCTGGTGGAGTGCCTGACGGCGACGCTCGACACCGCCCGCGACGTCCGGGCCTTCGCCGAGGAGTCGCTCCGCCAGGCCTCCCTGCTCCCCGGTTCGCCACCTCTCCCTCCACTCCCCTCTCCGTGTGTGTCTGGGCGTTTGATTATCGGGCTGAAGATGAATTTTGTTTCGAGTTGTTTCGGCCATCTCCTTCTCTTGAACTGTGTGCGCCTAATGGGCGCCGGTTGCGTGGTTGACGCCACTATTGCTCCAAAAATTCTGTTAGCAGATTGACATGAAGGGAGCTGAGCTCAATTTTAACTGAGACCGTTGTAGATGTTTGCAGTCCTTAATTGCTTTAGAGGATGTCAAAATGTTGTTTCTTTGTGGCAACGTGAAGGAATACATCCGCCTTTCTTTTTAAACCTGAAATGATCAGTGGTGTTCTTGTTGCTCTGTTGTCCTGGATAGGCTTCACTCTCTTTAGTGAAAGAACTATAGAGAACTACTGTTTTCCTTGCTGGATAAACAGAAAACAGTTTTTTAGCATAAACATTGTAAACTTGTTGGCTTGCTGTACATGTTAAAAGATTCATGCAACTTATTTGCACTAAACATCAATCTCATTGTAGCCTTTAACTATTTAGTACCCAATGCCAGATTTTTTTTTTGCTGGCCCGGCGAATATGCCAGCTGAACTTTTACTAAGAAGGAAGAGATAGTTTACAACAGGTTACCATACACACGCCAGCCAGGGTAAAGGAGCCCCTGGCGCCCACTACTGCTACAGGGGCCGAGTTACAGGGACAGAAACGTCGATACTCACAATGAACTTAGCAACTCTGCCGACTTCCATGAACTTAGCCACCATTCTTCTTCGATGGCTGCGCACAAGCACACGAAGTGATTGATGCTATTTTAGTTTTGGCGAAATTGGTTCTAGAGCATTGAAAGTTCACGTTTTTGTTTCTATAGTACCAAAAGTTACCGGTTCACTTTAATAGTACCGTAAGTTTTCGCCGTTTCCGTTTTTAGCACTTCCGTCAATTTTGTGCTGTTCTGCTGTTCACTTTGACCAGGATTGATTCTGCAAACTGCGCCAATTGAACTCCTTGCCCTTTTGTATGGCCTTCTTGCCTCCCAGTCCCAGCCTGTCCCCTCTGCTTGCTGCGATGCAGCCCTCGCCTACGTTACCACTGCCGCCGCTGCTCTATCGCGCCGAAGGTGTGGACGGCGGGAGGGTGTCTCTGGCGGCCTCACTCGCCCCGTCGACGCTACTGCCCCGTTCGTCGCTTCAGCCTCATGCTGTTGCCGCCACCCAGTCCATCAGCAGCACCTACGTCTCCAGCAACCTTGCCCTATCAACACGGCTCCTGCGTCCATGCCTAGCATGAGCCCCTCTTCCAACCAACAGCAATCTGGCGACATCATCCGTCAGTCGACAGCGTGCACCTCCTGCTAGCTAGCACCCCATCGATCACCAAACTCTTTTTTGAAATGTTTATTTCCTTCCTGCAACAGAATATAATTGCTGTTCAAATTGATAATTTGCTGGCTGCAAAAGAATGCCCTTATCGATTTTCCATGTGAGAGGAGATTAGACTAACTAGCAGATTAAGCTTCTTTTTGTTGCCGATTGTTCATGTGCACTTGAAAGTTGAAACCAGCACCGACGATTCAGGCGTACGGGCAGGCGGCGGTGCACACAAGCAATGCAAGAACGAACAGATGGCGACAGAAACAGAAGCTTGCTCGATTAACTCCCTCTGTTTTCTGCTTGCGTGCGTGGTTGAGTCAATCGTGGTCAAAGTGAACGGCAAACGACAGAAAAGTGACGAAAGTGTTAAAAGAGGAATGAAGGGAACTTTCGGTGCTATTAAAGTGAACCGGTAACTTTCGGTGCTAGAGAACCAAAAACGTGAACTTTCGATGCTTTGAAACCAATTTTTCCTAGTTTTGGCCACATCAGAAGTGATTGATCAGACCATTTTATTACATGCATGACAAAAACAGAACCATATAGTCTGGCTCTATAGCATCCAGTCCACATGCTCAATCTTGGTAGCGTCTTATGGGTTTTGCTCTATTGGTAATTGGCCTATCAGTTTAAAGCAAGTAAACTTTTGACCACCCAGCTGTTGGAGCAAATGCTTTAAATTGTTTGTTATTCTTCCATTTTTTTAATGGATAAAGTGCCTATTCCCACAGATTAATCTTATTATACAATCAGTTAACAAGGCCTGCTTTTATTGTAATTTTTACTCAGGATATGGAGCTGCCCTCACAAAAGTCACAACGAACAAGGAAATCCCATTTGGGTTACGTCAGATATCCTTAAACCATTTAATGAAGTTATTTTATGCCCAAAATTTGTAGCGCATACCCTTTCTCTGTTAGATTTGGCTTTCACACATTCTACTTCCAATTGTTGTTTGTTCGTCCTTCACTCCTCAGTACCTTGCTGCTGTCTTGCTAAAGCAGTTCATCAAACAGCATTGGCAGGAAGACGAAGAGAATTTCATGCCTCCTGTTGTTTCTGCCTCGGAAAAGGTACCATCATGCACTTTCAATCCTCTGGATAACACTAATTAGACTCAGTCCGTAACAGGCCCATGGTGCCATTCTTTTCTTTTCTCCCTTGGATTGTCAATACAAATTGTAATTCATGTGCGTGGTGTTATCTTCTCGCAGCAAGCACTATTTTCATGCTTGAAAACTTCTCATGTCAGAAGATTGTGAGTAATGATTAATGAGACAAGAGGTCCACATTATTACAACAAATATTCCACATGCATAGCTTGAATTGCTCATATTTTTTGATGCATGGTATCCCTTACTG